CAGGTACGTGAGCAATAGGCCCATCTGAACCCCATGACCCCATCTCACAAAGAGGGTTTCACATCCGGCCGTCGGTGGCACAGTGGTTTCCCTCGGACCAAGATCTTCTTTAATAATAACCGCCACCCCCCCTCCCCTCCCCTGGGCCCTCGGCTGATGAAGCGCTCTGAAGCCCGGTGGGCACATCTCAACCAGGGGGACCCCTCTCTCTGGGCCCAACCAAGTCTCAGTAATAGCTGCCAGGTCTGCTCCCCCCCTCCTGTATAAGATCATGGATGAGGGGTGCCTTATTAACCACAGACCTGGCATTGCATAACATCAGCCGGAGGCCCAGGTCCTGAGTATCTAAGCCACCTAGTATCCGAGTGGAGTCTTGGGGACCGGAGCGCGCAATTGCTCTCAAACAGCGGGTGCGCGCCCCCGGCACATGATATGGTCCCCTACTCCCGCCATATCTGCCCCTCCCATTCACCGTGTTGATAGAAAATTTCTCCACCGGATAGTCCTCCAGCCCCTCCCCAATCCCTCGACTTGCACCCTCCAAGCCGTCCCCCTGTGCCGGGCTCGGCTCTGACCTTAGTGGGTTCGTCCCCCCAAACCCCTTGGTCTTCCTCCCGGTTCCCCTTAAAAAAATCATTATTCCCATCCCTCCTCCCAGATCCCCTTAAAAATTTCATTAAAAATTTACGTAGAAAACCCCTCAACCCCCTCTTCACTGCATGCCATCTCTCGGGGTTCCAAAGCCCGTCATCGAGATAGGCCCTCGATAACATGGAGGGCCAGGCCTGCGAGAGGGGGGAGTCTCGCAGCGCAAGAAGGTCGGCTTTTTGGAGCATCAACCAAACCAAGGACGGGAGAGGAAGGCTTGTCCAGGAGTCTATCATAGTCCAAAGGGATGACTGAGCATAAAGGTCACAAAATATCCATTTGTAGGGCTGGATTCACTGTCCTCTCACGACAGGGAGAAGGTCCAAAGTTCTTTTTCTCCAACAGAGGCTAACAACCAGCCATTCTCTCACAACGGCTGGTCCCGTTACAGATGGTTATCGGGACTGATGTTATGTCTTCTCTGTTGGGATATAAAATCCCTCAGCTCCCTCATAATAGTGTTCAGTCTTTCCTACCAGCATTTTACCTTAAATGCCTCCCTTACTTTTTGAAACATCTCCCTTAGTGTCTCATATTCATCCTCCCAATTCTCCATATTTTCAATTTTAAAAGGCTAGGATTTTTAAGCTTATTTACATATGTGTGTGGGGGGGTGCTTTTCAAGGAGCCACAAGGGGAGCTGAGAGCAGAGTCATTCTGACAGTATCTTTTAAAAATTTTTGGAAGACCCATTTTTTCCCTAACAATAATGGTTCGTATACTTTGGAATAAAACATATACCTGGAAAAAGTATTTGCAAAACTTGGACAGAAGGAAAAGAAAGGCAGAACTGGACTCATTATCAGTAGCTAGTTAGTTCATTGTTATCAGTGACTCCCACTGAGTCTAAACTCATTTTAAGTCTGGGATTGGTGACTACTGAAATTTAAGCATTCAACATTGGTCTCAGAAATCTCTGATTTGAACTATCAAATCTTTGATTTGAACTTTGATTTGAACTATGGCAAGAAAAATCGTAAAATGGGGTAAAACTCACTTAACCATAATAATTTCTAGATATTTTAAGTGTAGAGAATTCAAGTGTTGAGAATGACCCATTATTTCATCTCTTTTTCCACACTAGGTACCACTATTTGATTTCTTTTCATTTTATTCAAATAACAACAGAAAACCCAATACGATTCAGTATGAATTGGCTTTCCAGTCCTTCCTTGCTGCATTTTTTCACATTGGTTATCTAGTTTAAATGCCAAAGAAAAATCAATGATATATTTTTCAATTCACACTGTCAATTGTTTACATTTGCAAGCAAAATTAACAGGTGTGAATTAAGTTTTAGCTAAGAAATGGAGCTTTAATTCCAGAAGTCGATTCTTTAAACTTGGACTTCTGGAATTAAAAGGCTCTGGATTAAATGGTACTCCAGACAAAAGATGGAGAAGAGTATCTTGCTTTTAGACATGATAATAGCTGTCTAGAAAGGTGAGTTATTAGCTATTTTGACATCATCAGAAATTTAATTTATTACCTGTTAAAAATGCAAGTACAAGGAGCAAATAAAAGACCTTCATGTTGGGGTTGGTTCTGGACCAAATCTTACTTGTGGGACAGAAACCAGCTCTCAGCCCTCCTTGTGACTTCTTGAAAAGCATTCCCCCGCCCCAGCTCCACCGCCTGAGGAGGCAGGGCAGGGCTGCAGGTTGATCCCAAGGGTGTCTGGGAATGGGTGTGAATTCATCCCACAGCCCTCTCCATCCCCTCCTCTGTGAAATTGCTTTCTCCCACTCGCTGCTGGTCAGCAAATTCAAAAGGAACCCCCAGCTGAGAATCACTGCTCTAGATTGGTTGATTCAGGGGATTTCTTTAGTGTTAACTAATAGTGTTAGTTATTTTTGTTACAGGCATAGATTTGTATTGGAGGAGCCTGCAGGCCTCCCAAAGGCTCTGCACACCGTTTTTTCAAAAAACAGGCTCGTTTTTTGCGAAAAACAGGTCCATTTTTCACAAAAACGGGACATGCAGAGCAAGGCTTCAGGAGGCAAAAAAATGGCTGTATTCCGTGTATTTTACTGTTACTCTCTTCCTTAGTGGGTCGTGCAAACCGCTATTCCAAACAATGCTATTTATAGGGGGTGGGGATGGGGGCAGTGGTGGGTTGCCCCAGTTCTCACTGGTTCTATAGAACCGGTAGTAAAACCAGCAGGAGGCCCCGCCCACCGACCCTGACATCACCAAGACGCTTCTGCACATGTGCAGAAGAGCGTGTGCATGCGCAAGCGAAGTGAGTGCGCGCATGTGGCCCCACTGCAAACTGGTAGTAAAGGTAAGTAGAACCCACCCCTGGGTGGGGGGCACTGAGGATGAGTGCACTGAGGGGGCGGTGGACTGAAAAAGTTTGGGAACCACTGATATAAAGGAACTGAAGCACAGTATTTTAGAAGACATCAGATACGTGAAGCTTTATGGTTGAACTAGGAGAAGGTTAAAAATACCACAATTTGAAGATTCCAGTCTGGGTATCTACAATTGAAGCTTTTTCATATCCAGAAAATATGGAATATTTTCCATATCCATTTAGAAGGGAACAAATTATTAGATATAGGGAATTATTGGATGAAAAGGGTGAACGTAAATTAAAGCAGGAAATAGAAGATCAGGGATGTAAAATGGACTGGTTTTCATATATGCAAATATTTTCTAGATATCGAGAAGATCTCAAACAAGGTTTTTACAATGTTTTGACTAATTTAGATAAGATCTTATTGGGTTCTGATGACCACATAATTAAAAAGTTATATGGATACTTACTAGAGGTAAAATTGGAAGAAGAACAAGTTAAAGAATCAATGATAGCGTGGGGAAAGAATTTTGGTTATGGTATTGAAATGGCAAAAATTGTGGTCACATAATTATAAAATGACAATGTCTACAGCATATAAGAATTTGTATAAGATGTTTTACAGGTGGCATCTACCCCCCCAACGAGGATAGCCAGAATGTTTAAGAATAAATTGGAGAAGTGTTGGAAATGTCACCAGACTCCAGGATCCTATTACCACATGTGGTAGACATGCGCAGAAGCAAAGAGATATTGGACCAAGATACACACATGGTTGGAATAAATGATAAAGATACATATTGACTTTAAACCAGAGATATTTTTATTAGGGATCTTACCAGAGACATATAATAAAGAATTGCAATATTTAATTGTGAACGTTTTAACACCGGCTAGAATTGTATTTGCCAAAAACTGGAAAGGAGAAAAGATACCTACTGATGATGAAGTTATTAAGAAAATGATGGAATGTGCTGAAATGAATAAACTGACATTTGAAATAAAAGAACAGGAAGATAAACAATATTATTTGATATGGGATTTATTTTATCAATGGATGGATAACAAATTTTGGAGATAATTATGAAATAAGTGGAACTGAGATAAATTAAGTGAAAAATGTTTATGGAAATAAACTGGGATGTTTAGTGATAATTTGAAGAGAGGAGCACAAAAAAATGTCACCGATCGACATACTGTCTGTAATTGTTTGGTATGATAATGCTTTTATATTTTGTTTTTGTTTTAAAAAATAAAAAAATTGTTTAAAAAAAAGAACTGTTTCATTTAGCAACAGAAATTTGGGGCTCAGTTGTGGTTGTAAATCGAGGAAAACCTTTAGAAGGAAATCACTGAAAGATCTGGTTTATCCTAAATATTCGACCACGGCATTGGCTTAAGGACTCGATCACTTAGTGACCACTGGAGGTTGTCCTCCCTCCCTCTGCTTCCTTCCTTCCTTCCTTCCTTCCTTCCTTCCTTCCTTCCTTCCTTCCTTCCTTCCTTCCTTCCTTCCTTCCTTCCTTCCCTCCCTCCCTCCCTCCCTCCCTCCCTTTGCTTCTTTCCTTCCTTCCATCCTTCCTTTCTTCTTCCCTCCCTCCCTCCCTCCCTCCCTCCCCATCAACAACTTCTGGAGGGAAGCCATTCCACCGATTAACAGACTAGCAGAAGACCTTGGAGGTCTTCTAGTCGAACCCCCTGCTCAAGCAGCAGACCCTCTACAACAGGCACCCTCAAACTACGGCCCACGGGCAAAGAATACGGCCCGCGGAGTGGTGTGATTAAGCCCCGCCCCTTGCCCCGCCCCTAACTGCCTTATCTCCCAGCGAGCCAGCTGCAAGGCCAGCTGAGGGCCAGCTGAGGGGTGATCTCGCCGGTGCAGCCTGGAAAAGCAGCTCTGGGCTTGTAAAGAACTCCTTCAAATTAAAAGTCTTTAAAAACAATTTAAACAGGGGCTTAGGAAGGAGAAAAGCCAGAAAATAGACAGTTAAATTGGCCACGCCCACCCAGTCACATGACCACCTAGCCATGCCCACCCACCCAGTCCGGTCCCCCAACAGTCTGAGGGACTGTGAATCAGCCCCCTCTTTAAAACGTTGGAGGACCCCTGCTCTACAACGTCAGACAAATGGCTGTCCAGAATATTGGGGTGCATCCCAAGGTCTCCTCACCTCTGAGAAGAAAACCTTCCCGATGGTCTTCTCTCTTAGATCGGGATGGGGCAGGTAGGTGTTGGCCTCTCTGAACATCACCTTCAGCTCCAGTTTAGAGTAGCTGAATAAGTTCCTAAAAGAGGAAACACGGAGAGCTCAGACAAGATCTGCTGGTTAGGGAGAAGAAAATCACCAAGCTAGAGAAATCATGATCTCAATTCAATTACTCAATGAATTACTCCATTTAGAGAATTTCTCACCCTCCCTCTCTTTCCCTCTCTTTCTCTCCCTCCCTCTCTCTCTCCCTCGCCCCTCCCTCGCCCCCTCCCTCTCTCTTTCCCTCTTTCTCTTTCTCCCTCCCTCTCTCCTCTTCCTCTCTCTCCCCCTCCCAGTTCCTCTCTTTCTGTCTCCCTCTCCCCTCCCCTCCCTCTCCCCACCCCTCCCTCTCCCACCCGCTGCCACTTGTAGCCAACCTCTTTTGACTTTTAATTTCTTACAGGATCAGGAAGAAAATGGCTTCGAACAAACCATCAGGAGTCACCATCATGTCCCAGCATCTAACCTTCTCCAACTGACTGAACTCCTCCTTATAGCCGGCACATAATATTAAATTTTTGATGGCTTGCACTGCATTGCTAAATCAAAGAAAGGAGGAAGAGTTGGTGCCAATCATTCAGCCGAGGCCCCCTGCAAAGCCCAGGCTTGCGCTGACACCGATCGGCCTCCCGCTGCTGTTCAGGATAGCACTCGGCGGCTTGTGCAGCAACCACAAAACACAATGCAAAACAAACAAGCATCAGCAACAAATCGGCCTCCCATTTTCTCTTCCCCCTCAAATAATAGAGTGGATTATTAGAGCTCACGCTGGTTTGGTTAATTCCACGTTTCCTTGGCCTGCATCACCAAGAATGGGACAAAGTCAGTGGTGGGATTCAATTTGTTTAACAACCGGTTCTGTGGGCGTGGCTTAGTTGGGGGTGTGGCTTGATGGTCATGTGACCGGGTGGGCATGGCTAGCTGGTCATGTGGCCAGGTGGGTGTGGCTATGTGAATAGGGATTACTCAGAGGGCTGAAAAAAGTCATTTCTGACTGGTCCTCGCACTTATGACCATCCTCACATTTATGCCCGTTGCGGCATTCTTAACAACCATGTGAGTTATTTCACCACTACTTCTCTTCACCACGGTGACAAGAACATAAAACGTAAAATGTGAGGACAGTCGTAAGTTCGAGGACTGGTCAAAAGTGCGAGGACCAGTCAAAAATAACTTTTTCAGCCCTCTGAGTAGTCCATATGCACAAAAGGACTACCCAGAAGGCTGAAAAAAGTGATTTCTGACAGGTCTTCACACTTTTGTCCCCACCCTTATGACTGATCATCATTTATGACCATTGTAGCATTCTTAACAACCGTGTCACTCATTTCACAACTGCTTCTCTTCACCATGGTGACAAGATAGGGCGAAAAACGTAAAATGTGAGGACAGTTGTAAGTTCGAAGAGTGGTCAGAAGTGTGAGGACCAGTCAAAAATAACTTTTTCAGCCCTCTGAGTAGTCCATATGCACAAAAGGATACAGCAATAGAGAGGCACAAAGGAAGGAGAAGAGAGATGGAAGAAAGAAGGAGAGAGAGGGAAGGAAGAAAAGGGAGGAAGGAAGGGAAGGAAAATTAGAGTAGGAGTGAGGGTAAGAGAGGAAGGAAGAGAGGAGGAGAAGGAGAAAGGAAGAGGAAGTAGGGAGGAGAAGAAGGAGGGAAAGAAAGTAAGAAGGAAAGAAAAGAGAGAGGTGGTAGGTTTGAGGAGAAGGATTGCTGTACAGTAAAAAAGATGAAATGGAAGAAAGGCAACCCCAAACAAATATAAAGATATTAAGATAAAGAATGAATTGTTAAACTTTAAAGAATAAAAGAGAACAAATATGAATAAATAGCAATCATTAGAAACACACATACAAACATACAATTTATTTTCTTTGAACAGAGTATTTGGCCGGTTCACAAATTTAAACAGTGTTTAGTCATTTACAATTTGTATATTTCCTTTTTGCCATATTTATTCCTCACCTATTTTTGTAAAAAACCAATATTACCCTTCATCCTTATCTCTAATCTTAATCAAATTCAATTTTTCCCTTCTATTCTATATTATACCCCTTCCCATTGTCATCTATTTTTATATCCATCCTCACATTGGTTAATTATGTAATATTACAGTTGTTTAATATAAATTCAACATTTTAATATAAATCAATTAGTTATACAACTATCTTTTTTGTATATTAATCAATATGAACATGAATATTCCAATTATTTCCATGCAATCCAATTTCTTACAAATCAATTAATTATATTTACCAATAATAATAAACCAAATAATTTCCCCCATATATTCCTCCAACCCACAACTTAACCACTGCTTTCAACACAATATGCAATTAATAGTATCTCAACTATTACAATTCCCTAGTTAAATAGAGCTTTTTTTCTTTTGTGTTTTAAAATCTTGAATTCTCCACTTTTTCCCTAAATTTTCCATTGTTTGCACCTACCATTTTGGTGAGGAAAAAGAAAAGAAATCTGCCTGCCTAATTTTCTAACGTTGCAGCAACAGCAAAGCCAACAGCCTGCTTTACTTTCAGTTTCGTTTTTCAGCATAGCTAGGGGAAAAAAAATTTGCTTCAGCACTCTTTGCAAGCAAACAGCAGAGCCCTCCGCAAAACAGCTGAGAGCAAATCATCTGAGAGTCGGAAGGCCGATCTAATCAATGGGCTAATTAGCCTATGCTGAAGCTCCGCGGGCCAATAAAATTACAAAAAAACACTGAACAGTTTGTTAAATTGCTGGCTCGCCCACCACTATTTATTGGCAATAAATAGTGGTGCGAAGGGGCGGGGCAAGGGGCGGGCGAGACAGCAATTTAACAAACGGTTCGGCCGAACCGCCTAGAACTGGCAGAATCCCACCACTGGTCGAAGTTCACTTTATGAACTTCAGCAGCAGAAATTTGGTGCTCCGTTGTAGTCTTACATCAACTTGGGGAAAACCTGTAGGCATCTCCTGAGCTTTGCAGAAATGGAGAAAGGATCCAGATTGGGCCTAGGAGATTCCTTACCCCAAGTGGTTGGTTTCACTCTCCATCGCTTTCTTCCTAGACCCTCTCTTTCCTGTTCCCAGCAGAAAATAAGTCTGTGTTATGCAGGCTGGAGAACTTGTTCTTGACCATGTCTCCTGCCTCAGGAAGGGAGAGGAGGAAAGAGAGCGCATTGGTGGCCTAGAAACAGGATGAAAGGAAAGTCAGCTCCAGCTCATCAGGTTACCTAGATTCATCATCATCTTCTTCTTCTTTTAACAACCCCATAATCCCTTGCGGGGTGGAGTCTGGACAACTGAATGAAGTTGAGTGTTTGCTGGCCAGATGCCCTTCCTGTCGCCAGTGTGGAATTTTGAATGGATAACTTTGAGAAACACCAGTGAAGTGGTTCGGGAATAACGAGAGGCACAACCAAGCAAGTGACAACAGCTCTTTAATATACAGTGAGACTTCAGCAAAAACTCAGAGGTTGCAGCCCTCCTTATATACAATCGTGGAGGGACTGTCAGCCAATCAGAAACTTAGGCAGGTTTGAATTTCCCGCTGAAAAGTATCAATACATAACACCCTTCCCTTCCCAGAAGGCACTAACATTCAAATATTTACATAAGTACACACAAAATCTCGCAGGTGCCCAGGCCGAGTTCTCGTCCTAGTTGACCTGCGCAGTTCAGTGTTTGGTGGGGCGTCGAGCTGGTCGGAGGGGACTTCCTGTCTCTCCCGGCTCCGCCAATGGAACCTCCTGGATTTTGTCCGGGGCGTGGTTATCCCCGGCTGGGAGTGGCGACTCGCTGGGGCAGCGCTGGAACCAGGGCTTGTCAGCTAAGTATTCTCGCGAACCCAGGCTTGAGTTAGCTGTTTTGGGAAAGTTGTTGTAGTTAGGTTCGGAGATGTCTAAATTGATGTTTGCTTCGCCAACTACCCTTTTTCTAAGTTGGTCTATGTGGCGCTTCCAGAGTCTGTCTACCCCCACGTCTACTGGGTAGGATTTGGGGCTGTTATGCCCACTATGGTTCCTGCAACCCATAGAGGTCCGCTGGCATAATTGTGAGCGAACACCAGGGACCCCACCTGAAACTGTCTTAGCCCAGAGGTCTCTCCCTTGAAATTTTCGTGCGAGTAGTTAGGGTGAAGCCTATCTAACACGCACCTAAGCTTCCTGCCCATGAGGAGCTCTGCAGGGCTTCTCCCTGTGGCGGTGCATGGTGTGGCATGCTGGACAGCTAAAAATTGGTCTATCCTGGCCTGCCAATCCCCGTTATCTAGTCTGGACAGTGCTTCTTTGGCCGATCTTACAAAACGTTTGGCCAATCCGTTAGAAGCCGGGTGGAACGGGGCCGATAGGGCATGGCGGATGCCCAGTCCAGCCAAGTAGCCCTCAAAAAGGGTTGCAGTGAATTGTGGCCCGTTATCAGATACCAGGGTATCCGGCAGGCCGTGGGTGGCAAACAGCTTCCTTAGGACCTTGATTACTGCCTCGGCTGTGGTTGAAGGCATTAAAATTATTTCGAGCCATTTTGAGTAGGCATCGACTACGATTAAAAACGTTTGCCCATGAAAGGGACTGGCAAAATCAATGTGGATCCTCCCCCATGGCCCTTTTGGTTTCTCCCACTCTCGGATGGGCGCTACTGGGGGATCGGGGCGAGACTCCTGGCAGGGTCTGCACTTCCCCACCCACTCGGAGATAACTTGGTCCATGTTGGGCCACCAAACGTAGCTGCGGGCTAAGCTTTTCATTCTAACAATGCCCGGATGCCCTTCATGCAGCAATTCTAAGACCCTTGTTCTTAGCTTCGATGGTACTACCACCCTGTCGCCCCACAACAGACAACCCCCTTGCGTAAACAGTTCGTTTCGTTTGTTCACAAAACCTTGGTAGTCCCCTCCATCCACCTTGACCGGCCACCCCTTCAGAACCCAACCCATCACAGTGCGAATGATTGGGTCCCTGGCTGAGGCTTTTGCCACCTCGGCAGAGGAAATAGGTCCCAAAGTTAAAGTGTCCAGTAGAAGGACAGAGGTTTCTGGCGTTGGGTTGGTCAGTAAGTCAGGTAGGGGGCAGCGGCTGAGGGCATCCGCGTGACCCAGGGTCTGTCCGGGTCGATGGACAAGCTGATACGAATAGGCCGATAGAAAAATAGCCCATCTGGTCAAACATGGAGAAAGAGCAGCGGGGGTGGGCCTATCGCCTGCCAAAAGTCCTAGCAAGGGCCGGTGATCAGTCACAAGTTCGAATTGCCGGCCATAGAGGTATTCATGGAACTTTTTAACCCCCGCAATTGCAGCCAGAGCTTCTCTGTCCAATTGACTATAGTTTCGCTCTGCGCTTGACAGGGTGCAAGAGTAAAACGCAATGGGCACCTCTAGGCCGTTCGGCAGTCTATGGCCTACGACGGCACCAACTCCTACGGGGGAGGCGTCACAAACCAATACAAGCGGTAGCGCTGCGTTGTATTGGATTAGGAAACTGTCTTCTGATAGAAGTCTCTTTACTGCCTCAAAAGCGGCTGCTTGTGGTTTCCCCCAGACCCATGGTACGTTCTTCCCCAGTAGTTT